GGGTAGGGTTAGGGTACGGGGGGCATAGGGTAGGGTTAGGGTACGGGGGCATAGGGTAGGGTTAGGGTACGGGAGGCATAGGGTAGGGTAGGGTCAGGGTACGGAGGTCATAGGGTAGGGTAGGGTCAGGGTAGAAGAAAAAATATCCATGATATAATTAGGGCAGAAATGGTCATTGCATTATCCACGACTTAGTGTACGGCAAAATGGCAATTAGGAATTCTAGCCAGTTCAGCAACAAGTAAACGTATTTTCAGTGCAAGTGGAAGAGTTTTAGAAGAAAGAAGACAAAATTAAAATGGCGAGATTGTTCATGATGTTTTATTTTTAAGAAAATTTCAAAATAAAGGGTGTTTCATAAGTAACGACCCCATTTCTATTTTTTTCTTATCTTTATCATATTTGAAGATGAATACTCATCGACGATAGTTTTGAAGAGTAGTGTAGTATCTAAGCTATGATCCAATGTGGATAGTCCTCAATCTACATCAAATCTAAGAAAGGACTCCATCAGTGAAAAAATTGAAAAAATTTTATCAAATTTATTATGTATCTTTTTCCTGTAGAGCATGACCTTCTCAGTATTTTGTGAGCATCCCTCTCAACTTTTGATGCATTAACTTGAACTTTTTTCCAAAAGATAGCTTGTGAAACTTTCTACAAAATCCAATATGAACAGCTGTCCAAATGAATAACTTAGGATGACTTGAAACCTGTTCCTTCACGAAAGAAGATATCATTGACCTTGTAAAAAAAAACAGCGGTACTAGGAGTGGGGTTTATTTGAAATGTAGTACTGCTAATCAGATATTGTTTTCTAATTATTCTTTTGGAGAATTATTTTAATGGATTTTGTAGAAAATTTCACAAGCTATCTTTTGGAAAAAAGTTCCTGTCAATGCATCAAAAGATGAGAGAGATGTTCATAAAATACTGAGAAGGTCATGCTCTACAGGAAAAAGATACAAAATAAATTTGATAAAATTTTTTCAATATTTTTACTAATGCAGTCCTTTCTTGCAATTGATGTTGATTGAGGACCATCCACATTGGATCATAGCTTAGATACTACTCTTCAAAACTATATTGTCGATAAGTATTCATCTTCAAATATGATAAAGATAAGAAAAAATATATAAATGGGGCCGTTACTTATGAAACACCCTTTATTTCATAATTTTACATTTAATTTTCGTTAGAAATTAATAAAAGTTTGTTGAAATATAATGAAAAACGCAGCCTGTTAACATTCACTTAAATGTAAAATGTTGTGTATAGTAGGCTACAAGATACAAAATCTGTGTGGTAGGGTAGGGTTAGGGTAAGAAGGACGTAGGGTAGGGTAGGTTACGATACGCTGGGCGTAGGGTAGGGTAGGGCCAGGATACGAGAGGCGTAGGGTAGGGTAGGGTCAGGGTACGGGAGACGTAGGGTAGGGTAGGGTCAGGGTATCGAAATTCTCGCAGGGTAGGGTATAGGGTACGAAAAAGTTGTACCCTGCAGGACTCTATCCTAGAGCATCTCAAGCTGTACAAAATGGACTACTCATGATATTTTTTCTGTTTTCTTTTGTACTTAGAATATATCACTTTCTTAGTACAGCTATATGTAAAATACGATTTTTCGACAGTGTAGGCCCCATAATTCAGCGATCATAGGAGCTAGACAGCTCAAGCTTTCTGTGGCAGTGAGACACTCAAAGACCAATAACATATAAAAAATTAGTGGAAATCAATAAAGCAGAACAAAAGTGATTGGCGAAATACAGCTAAAATCTCAATTGTACCAAAAAGTTGCAATTCACTCATATATATATGTATATGGATGAATTGCAACTTTATTGTACCGTTCGTAGTTCCATATGTAAAACTTTAATGACTTCAGTTCCTCTTGGCCAATCTCTATGAAAATTTCGGAGTATGCTGCCGTAGTTGATGCTCACTACCACACAAAAAATCACGAATTTATCATTAGCCTATCCCGAGATACTGCATACACAAGGTTAAAATGGCTGATTTCTACTGCCACCTATGGACAGAAAATGACCCATCACTAATTGGTTTCTTGTCATTTGAATTTTGACAGTTTTTGACATTTACAGTGGACAGTACATACATCATGGATATGAGACTGGCTAGTTCTTTCATCGCAGTTTATGTTATATTTTTTTCCGAATATCATGTGTACCGTCAATGGTCAATATGGTGTCACACGAGATTTAAAAACGCCTTTGCTATATAACAAAGCATTCAAAATTTGTCGGATTGGTTTTGAATGAAAGCTTATCAGTGGGGAATAAAACTACCAAAGATGATTCGAAAGTTTTACTTATTCTTATTAAGAAAGGGACATTAAATAAAATTTGAAAATATAGTTGTCACACTAAATGTCACACGAGATTTCATACTTTGTGTGTCGTATTAACTCTTATAAATTAAGGCATATTGAGCTGAAATTTTTATCATTTTATTTGTTAGTTGTGGCCGGATATTGCTGAAAATATCACGGTTAGAAAATGCTCCTTTCGCATAATAGAGAGGAAAATAGTGTAAAAATGTCACACGAGATTGTTGGCAAACTGTCACACGAGATTTTTTCAAAAAAGTGCCAGATGAGATTTTTATGTGGATAACTATCCAGTAACTGAGATTAAGGTGAATAAAGGGCATATTAGTCGCTTTTATGCTTAAGTGACTATCACTACTCACGCGAACTAATTCTAACACATTCCTCACGAGTTAATAAATTTGCTGTGAAAGATGCGTATACACGATCTATACTAAATTTAACAGTGGTAGTCGGGAAAATTTATTCATATCCATCTCTCATATAGTGTAGTAAGATGCACTACTCCCAATCTCTAAAATCGGAAATTTTTTTTTCATCGATTTTTTTCTCAAAACGGTACAATAAAGTTGCAATTCATCCATATATATACTTAGGGGTATCCAAAAGTAGTGGCAACGACATTTTACTACCACTTAGTAAGCTTGATAAAAGTTTCTTTTTACACAGGATGATAGAGAAAAAAATGCTCTTTCTTTCTATGCTATTTGATCATACTTCACATAATATAATGGTAATAAAGGATGGGGGTGGATATTCTAGCAAAATAGGCCCTATTTGAAAATTTTTCGAAAAACCCCACTAATTTTATATGGTGAGAAAGATAATAAATTCTAGTATTTATCTGTGTAAATTTTTTTTAACAAGGTATTACTTTTTACTAATAATTCAGCATATATATGCTTATGGGTATATTAGTCGTAGTAGATAGACGGACCTAAGGGCACATCGCACTATAAAACACACCAAAGAAACTACTGTTATATATCAGTCGATGCGCCAGAAAATGCTTAACAAAACTGTATAAAAATATATATGGTTCACTCATCATATACAGTACTTTTGATACAGATACCTGTAAAATCTATACACAGATGACAACGGATTCTTGCCTTGTATACCATTTTCTCTATTATTCGATTACACCCCGCCGTCATTTTTTCTGCATAGATAGTCCATGATGTAGGCTACAAAATCATAAGAACATCGAGCCTTCAAATGCTTGCCGAAAATTTTTCTCAAGTACCACATTTGTATCTCTATAGTCAATTCATAGGATCCAGGCAGAGTTTTGATTC